TTTCTTTTGGTTGATTGTTTAATTTTGTTTTTGGTTTGATTGAGTTTGTGATAACGACCCATTTTGTGATTTGAAGTCGCAGTAAGGTTTTTTTCTGTTGTTGACTGACAAAATAAAGGCTGGTGCAAAGTCAAAGTCTCTGGCTGCCTATCTCTCCATCTTTCTTTCTCTGTCTGCCTACCTCTCCCTCTCTCTATTCCCACCCGTCTCTGTCTCTCTGTCTGCCTGTCTCCCTGTTTCTCTCTCTCTCTCTCTGTCCCCACCTCTGCCTGTGTTCCTCTCTCTCTCTCTCTCTCTCTCTCTCTCTCTCTCTGTCCCCACCCGTCTCTGTCTCTCTGTCTGCCTGTCTCCCTGTTTCTCTCTCTCTGTCCCCACCTCTGCCTGTCTTCCTCTCTCTCTCTCTCTCTCTCTCTCTGTCCCCACCCGTCTCTGTCTCTCGCTCTCACTTTCTGTGCCAGCGCACTGTGTCACTGATTCTCGCTGTCATATCCTGCAGATTCGGATCCCGGCCTGTTATGACAAGCCCGGCATGTCACAGCTGGTCCAGTCGTCGGAGGTGAGATCCATTCCCCCACAGCCCCAAACCTGACCTCTGCTTGGTGCCGCAGGCTTCATCTCTGGGCTTCTGTGTTTCAGAATGACAACCTGGTCTCCGTTGTCCTGCCCACCATTCACGAGGTGGACCTCTTCAGGTCAGTCTGGCTGTGCTATGGCCCCGTTTGTCGGTGGGTGTTTCGGGGGGGCTTTGTACATTTTAGCCATGTTTTGAGGAGATGGACTTTTGAAGCAATCAGCACGCAGCAGGTAGATGTGGATGGTTTAAGGGGAAAGGTATTTGAGGGTGATTCCGCAATGATGTCACTGATGCTGACCTCTATCCCTGGGACAGATGCTTGTTGCCTCCTGGTGGCGTCAGGTGGGACTGCACTTCCCTCAATGGCAGTCCTGCTCATTTTTTTTTGATGGTGCTTCTTGGTTAGATTTCACGTCACTGTGGCTCTCGAGGGGTGGTTCTTGATAATGGAGAGCTGCAATTTTCAGATGTTATGACCGAGTCTAGGGCATGTAATAGCATGTTCTGTGTTTCTGTGTCTGCTAAAATCTTGGTGTTTTTACGTGGTATTGATGTTTGGGTGAATAAAGGCGAAACCGTCTGGTCATTCTTTAGCCCCTCTGTGCTTGGCTGTGGTGTCCCACCGTGTCTCTGTCTCTCCTGGCCGTCTAGGTGTTTCAGCCCCGTCTTCTTTCACATCCAGATGTTGTGGGAGCTAGTATTGTTAGGAGAGGCCCTGGTCGTCATGGCTCCTTCGCCGGCTGAGTCCTCTGACACGGTGCTGGCACTGGTCAGGTGAGCGTTCTCCTTCACCTGTGGAGGGTGGCGTTCTGTAACGGTGGATCTCCTCCAGAACAACATGGCTTGACAGCTTCGAACACCATGTTCTCAGGTCTAACCAAAAGGACTGTAGATGATGGGAACTACTTGGATTAGAACCTGTTTTTGGTTTGGTATTTGAATAAAACACTGAGTCCTGCTTTGGCCCCCTGATGACCCCCCTGCTGAGGCAGTGGCTGATCCCGGCGGCTCTGTTCCTCCGCTTGCAGTCAGCTCTAGGTCTGGCCTGCTGCTGTAATGGAGGTCGGTTGTGAGTGGAAGGTGTGGTCCAGTATGTAAATTGAGCAGTTTAGGATAAAGGGGAGAAGTAGGGCTGGGCGATATATCGAGTTCTTAAGATAGATCGGTATTTTTTTATACGATGTACAGGATGAGACAATATTGTTTATATTGATATAGTTTACGTTACTTTAAAATAATATTCATAGAGCCGCCAGTTCACCTATTTCTCCTCTCCCTGTCTGTCTCTCGCACACCTGCCCCCTGCCCCGCCCCCTCACTCACAAGTGCCGCATGCAGCGACAGCATGGAGACAGACAGACATGATGCAAGCTAGCAAAGAGGAGCTGGTTGATAAAATACTATATGCCAGTAGTTATTTTTCGAGCCATTTTTTTAATGCACATGTACAGTTGATGTCTGTGTGACATTGAGGACATTTGGCTCTGACTTGGAACTGTCTTTTTGTTATTACTTTATGGAGAAAAAATATTGAGATATATATCATATATCGCCGTTCAGCTAGAAAATATCCTGATGTGATTTTTTTTTTTTTTGGTCCGTATCACCCAGCCCTAGGGAGAAGAGAGAGTAATTCTGTGAGTGCCTTATGCTAAGCTCACACTACATGATTTTATCCCCAATTTTCCACTTGCGGACAGTTTTTGGATATCGCCGACAAAAGCCCCAAATCGCAGGCAAAGCAGTCTTCACTTGGCACTGGCAAATCAGCACTCAATCACCGTTTGAAAACTGTTTAATTAGACAATGTTTAGTTGCTGATTTGTCGCTGACGCCCGTCAGATATCTAGCACTTCTCCCCCACCCCCCCAGTCCCTGATCAGTTACGTAGTGTGTAACCACAACGACTTCAAGACTCCCGATTTACAAGATGTCAGGTTGTGTAGTTTGAACGGCATAGCGATCTGATGGCTTTGAAAGTTGCCCAGTGTGACCTTGAACTTGGCAGTGACCTTGTGCGCGTTCTCTCTGTCTGTGTTGTAGCTGTATATCCCCGCTGCGCTACTGCAGCGACTTCAGGCCCTACTTCACCATCCATGACAGTGAGTTCAAGGAGTACACCACCCGCACGCAGGCCCCGTAAGCACCTCCGCCGTCTTCCCATCCCTACCCAGCCCGATGGGTCCATCTCCATCCTATCCTCCCTGGGAGATTCGGCCTCCTCTGCTTTGCAGGGCTGTGACGGTCATCCTGCTCTGGTTCACCTACACTGGTTACATTCATCCATATATTTTCCAGTTTCTGTAAATGAAGCCAAAATAATCACCCAATGGTGTTGTGGGTATTAATAGAATATTTCACATGAGATGTTCTCCCCCTTTTACAGGCAAAGCAAATATGTCATCCTTGTACTTTTGATCGACCCGCTACCCCTATCAGTCCTTAATGTCCCTAATAAGTGGCCACATGGGTAACCCTGCGTTGACATGTTCATGTAGCTGAGAGCTCTGTCTGACTTGTAAATAATTGAAGGGGAGGATGGATGGTGTTTGAATAAATAGCCTGGCAGCACTGAGGTGGCAGCAGCAGCAGCCAGCGACCTCAGTGCATTAGTACCTTTTTCAGTCAGCTCACTATCTCTGCTGCATGTGGCAGTCAGGGTGGCTGTGTGATGCATAATTGATGGTTCCTGTGTACAGTGGTCTTTGTTAGCGGATGTATGAGAGCTGGTTTCGCCTTGCGTCTGTATTGGGTTTCCATCCCTTTGTCCCCCCCCGCTGGCAGGAGATGCAGTTAAACCCTTTTGTGAACAGATGGATAGTAAAGATGACTCGTAATGTGAAATCATGTGATTCGTACTTTCTTTAAACAGGAAGTTAGGTGACTAATGTTAAAAGGGTAAAACATGGTGTCACTTTGAGGCAAACTGAAGTGTCTGTTCTGTGTGTCCCAGGCCGTCCGTCATCCTTGGGGTGACGAATCCCTTCTTTGCCAAAACCCTCCAGCACTGGCCTCACATCATCCGGATTGGGGATATGAAACAAGCAGGTAGCGGAAATGCCGAGTTTCACTGTCCTTTAGGCCATGTGCGCCCTGTGTGTCATCGGAGAAGGGCGGGCTGTAGCATTGTGTGGGCAGGCCTTTGGGCTCAGGCATCACGGGGGCGGGCCTTGGGCTGGGAAGGCCTGTGTGTGTGTGAACTCCTAAAGGGTGAAATATAAAAATTCTGGCAGTTGACACCTGAGAGCAGTGTGTGGCTCAGTGGGTTAGGACTCCGTGTACATGATCAGAAGGTTGCTGGTTCAAATCCCAGAGTTGGGAGAGTGATTCACCATTGGGTCCTTGACCCCAATACCTCCAGGGACTGTCTCATCCAACTTTCTGAGCTATATGTCACTTTTTAAAAGCATCTGCTAAATTTAAAAAAAATTATGCCTTTTATCATAGAAAGAAAATATTATTTGCATTTGCCAGCAGCTGCTCTGTTGGTTGGTTCTGGGTGGCCTTGTGTTCATACTGTCACTCGTCTTTAGGGGAGGTGACTAAACAGATGAAGGTGAAGAAGCTGAAGAACTTGAAGACCTTGGATTCCAAACCAGGTGATGAACTTTAGGTGCAGTGCAGAACCCTCTGCTTGCCCCCCCCCCTTCATAATTACAGGTTCTAAGGGAAATGATCACCAGTGTGCATGAGTCTAATGTTCGCCACATGCCGTTTCAGGAGTGTACAGCTCCTACAAGCCGTTCCTGAACCGGGACGAGGAGATCATCAAGCAGCTGCAGCGGGTGAGCGAGTGCTGCCCTGCTGATCGCCTTCGCTGACTCTGACCCGCCTTCTACACGTTTCGACACGTGAGCCTGAGACCTCAAGGTTGTTGAATCTCCCCCCTCTCGCTTCAAGGGTGTCCAGCAGAAGCGGCCCTCCGCCGCCCAGAACGCCATCCTCCGGAGGCACTTCCTGGAGCTGACCCAGAGCTTCATCATTCCCTTGGTAGGACCTTCGCTTGCTGCTGACACTCGGTGGAGCTTCCTCAAGCAGAATGTACATTGGGCCATATGGAGGATGGCCAGGTCCTGCCTGCTGCTTGCGTGTTTGCGTGTTTGCGTGTTTGCGTGTGGCCCTCGCATGTTCACCGGGCTTCTTATTCCCTGCTTGACCCTTCCTTCCCCCAGGAGCGCTACGTGGCGAGTCTGATGCCTTTGCAGAAAAGCATTTCACCTTGGAAGGTGAGCCGGACTTCTTACCTTCCGTGTCTCTCTCTCTCTGAAAATCGTAACATCTGCATATTAAAAAAAAAAATAACACCCTTTAAACCCGGGAGCTGAACCGAAGCTGGTATTTTAACATCGCGTCGAGGGGTGTCCCCATTCTCTGAGTCACATTGCCAACCCCGCCCCCCCTCCACAGAGCCCTCCTCAGCTGCGGCCGTTCAGCCAAGATGAGTTCATGAAGACGCTGGAGAAGGCGGGGCCACAGCTCACCTCACGCCTCAAAGGAGACTGGATTGGTCTCTATAGGTACTGCATCACCATGGCAACCTTCTCACACCTCCAGCTCCCTTCCCACAATCCCACTGCTCTATTCACGTGACCTCCTAGGCTTCCCATTTGTATATGAACTTAAATTAATTTCAGGCTGTTTTAGAGACTCTTTGTCTAAATAGTCAAACAGAAAAAAACAGCAGCACGCTTGTTTGCAGCCAACCTTTAAACTCCTCATAACAGAACAATAAAAGGAACCACAGCTGCAAGTAATAGATGACATCATCTGTGATACATGCTTAAATATCCGTTCACTTTTCCATGTTGGAAAAAAAACAGGCGCTCAGTGGTGAAGAGTGTGCAGCTCCCATTTATGTTTTTGCCATATAAAACTTATGTCCACCTTGTACTTTTGATGAGCATCGCAGCTCACCTCTTATACAGAAAAGTGTGATGCTTTGATGCTCAGTAACATGGACAGGATGGATAAATTCTGAGCTTTCATGATAGTTGTCAGATTGCTCCTTGTAGAGAGCAGTGGGTGGGATTTCCTGTGACCCATGTGATTTCCAGATGGGGAGCAGCTGATGCTTATACCTTACAGTATAACCCCCAAAATGATGCAAAAAAATGATTTGAAGATTGGTAATGCAGCTCAAAAGCAATAAAAACTAGTGTTTCAGGGAGTCATTGATCACTTAAAGCAAACCTTTAACCAAGGCAATTCACTTTAAATTTCAGTGGAGTTTTGATCACTTTTATACGAATACAGTGGTACCTCAGTTCTCATTAGAACTCGAATTTCTTAAAAGTTGAACCAACCAGTTCGAAAACAATTACCTAGAGCTCGATCTGAATCTCAGAATTCAAACTGTGAACGCCGACTTAAGATAACTTGCACGCGCCGGGAAATGAGTCACGCGACACTTCTCTCAGCGGACACAAAGGGTAAAGCTTCAGTCTCAGCCTCGCATTAGCTGTGATAGCATCGTGCATGTTTACACTAACTGAATACATATATTTAGACAGTAAAAATACATTTAGACAATGATAGACAGTAACAGTAATTATATAATAAAATGCATTTAAAAATGATTTCTTATTCGTTATTTTAATATTAATAATAAACCATTAATACGTTTAATTATAATAATATTGTCGTGCCGAGCGGGGACGGAATGGAGACAAAGGCACAGACATCAGGGTATCGGGGAATACGGGGTTTAATTACAGGTAAGGCAGGCAAAACGCAGACAGACAATACAATGACCAGACTGGGGAAACAAACTGAAACGCGGACTAAATACAGAGGACTAATGACAACAGCTAGAAACAGCTGATCACACGGGGATTCCACACGGGGTTAACGAGGGGGCGTGGCACGCGGAAGGAGCGGACGATCGGGGCAGGACACATTGTTTTTTTTATTTAACTTTACACATTGTTTGGATACATTTATTTTCTTACTTTACAAATTACTGTTTTGATAAATGTGCTTAGATGTGTTTAGTACAGTATATGCTCTTCTTGTTTTATCTGGTTCATTTTGTATTTAAATGCTAAAAAAAAATATATATTTAGGTGTAATTTTTTGGGGCCGGGAACCAATTAATTGGTCTTCCATTATTTCTTATGGGGAAAATTCGATCACAACTCGAACTGTTTAGGATTCGATCCGGAGTTCTGAACGGATTAAATTTGAGTTCTGAGGTACCAATGTATTTTACTACTGTATTGCCACACCGCTGAAACACAAATTCAGAGGGTGCAGCCCCTGAATTCTGACACAGCCAGTGACTATACAGGCTATATTGCATTTAAGTTTGTAGTTACAGTGGTTGTGTATGTCTGTAGTGGTTCACCTGTGACCCGTGTCTGACATCACAGGCAGTTCCTGAAGTCTCCCAACTTCGATGGTTGGTTCCGGAACCGCAGGAAGGAGATGACCCAGAAACTTGAGGCGCTGCACCTGGAGGCCCTCTGTGACGAGGTTTGGTGACACCTGCTTGAAAATGTCAACATGCCTCCATTAGTGTGACCCAGTTGCCTTTAGAAAATATTTTTTGGTTTCTTGACTTCCTTGCTTGGTTCCTATTATCACGTTTTTCAGTCACTCAGCGCTATTTTATATGTTTGTTTGGGAAAATTCCCCCCAGATTTCTCTAACCCACTGAAATGTGTTGTGTGCATGTGCTTGAGGTTGCCTAAAGTAACACACACAGACCCTACAGGGAGATGCCATGCTTGAGGGCAGCTGCAGATGTTTTACCCTCATACTGTGGTAGAATGAGCAGAGAAATGCTACATTCTGGGGGGCCCTCCCGACTAGAGGGCTCTGTTCTAGCTCCCAGCCCAATCGACCAACCCTGCTCTCACTGCAGGACCTGCAGCTACGCATCCAGAAGCACACAGAGGTGGAGACGGTGGACCTCGTGCTCAAGCTGAAGGATAAACTGGTCAGTGTGGGTTTTTTTTTTTTTTGAAAAATGCACTAGGTGTGAAACAGTGGGAGTTTGACAGAACAGCAGTGTGAGATAGTAGGAGTCTGACAGAACAGCCAGCCACCTGTGGAATAGCATGGCCTGGCCTGCACATCAACTGGTAGTTTAACCAGCTGTGAAACAGTTAAAGTAGGCGGTTGCTTAGGAGGTAATGCTGTTCCTACCGACTTCATGTGACAGTGAGAACACACAAACACCAGACACACAGCTGGGATTCAGACCCCCCGCCCTGAAGGTGTGACACGACAGCGCTGTCCCCTGAGTCTCCCTTGTGTCTATTGTCTAGATCAGTGTTTCTATCGAGTACTGTGAGGGAGAATAAACATGAACTGTCTGGGATTCCCCGAGGACCGTGTTGGGAAGCGCTGATCTAGATGAACGTGAAGAGCTTCTCCTAATGGGCTGAGAATGGTTAAATATGCTTAGGGCAGCTATGGACTGACCCCTGCTACAAGCTTCAGTGTGTCAACGTTGGCCTCATTCTCTTGTTAAATATCAGAGTTCGACAATTACAATAATTTATGGCCACAGGGTGGAGTAGTTTTCATTCCGGCTACATTTCAGGTGCTGTGCTACAGTCTAGCTGGCGTTGCCCTTCATGGCCCAGCTAGGTGGCATGCGGGCAGTTCTGTGGCCCCTGTCCCGCTCCCTGGGCTGACACCTTGCCGCTTACTGAAGACTCACGTTCTCTGTCCCCCCCAGACGCAGGCAGAGAGGGAGCAGCTTCCAGTCAAAGCGGGAACGCTGGCCAGACTGCGGGCCCACATCGAGACCGTCATCCTGTCCCTGCCCGAGGATCTGCAGGGGATCCTGCTCAAGTCATCCAGCCCATGAAGTCGACCCTCTGCTGCCCCCATGGGGATGGGGGTGTGGATGACGGCACTGTCCCCAGAGCCAGGACTGATCCAGGCGGTTGCATTTTTTTTTTCCCCCCCCCACGCTGAGAATATTTCCCTGAAACGCCCCCCGTGCTGCCCCCATATACAATGCTGGCGTTGGTAGAACCGCCGATTTGTGTGTTTACATGCAGCCAGGACACGGCTTTGATATTGCTCTGCAATACCATGGCAACTTCGGGGAAAATGTGCATCATTATCTCACGGTACCTCCAGCGAGTCCTTTCGTCTCTCCCTGCCCTCAAACACGCCCCCGGCAGGAGCTGAGTGGATGTGCAGACTTTGGCAGATTAGAGGTATGGGTTTTGACAACTCCCCTACCTTCCCCTTGGTTTGTCTGAGGTGGGAAAAGCCACTGACGGCACCTTTGGTGGCTTTTAATCAGGGGTTACAGTAGGTGTTTAAGCTCATAGGTCGTAACATGTCATGTGATTTGAGTTAATGTCCAATCAGGGACTGAGAGGATGCTCTAAGCAGCTTAAGGCCTTTGAGGGGCCTCTGAGCATGTTTTAAAGTGTAATGATGTGACACTAAGATGTCTGACAGCGTGACTGTGATGCAGGGGCATAGATGTGGTCAGGAGGCTGCCAGGACTCACTCACCCAGTTTAGGATTCTGGAAAGTTCACCGAAGGTGGGTTTATGTTAGACTTGCTACTGTCATCATTAAAATCGTTCTGCCCCATTTCCGGACACTCTGTCTGCACTAGCTGACCTTTACAGATCTCTTTCCAAATCAAGTTAAGGGGCACAGCCTTCAATGACCGATCTTTTGAAGAAACTAATGTTGCCTTATGTTAGTATTCAATGTGATGAGGCTATTTCATTTTTATTTAAAATTATTTATTTAGGGTGTATGTGTTAAATGTGCGTTAAATTGTGGTCTTTTAAATGTAAAGTTGCCTTACTCGAAGCAGGTATACTTACAGGTTGGTTAATTAGATTTATGGGGTATGTAACATAAGAAGGCAGTATTGTATGTGAAAGAGTGAATAATTACACAGTAAGGGCTTGCTAAGGTAACGGCCTATAACATTCCTTTAAGTCTGTAGGAATGCGTCTGTGATTTGGGCAAAAGTCAGTCAACTGCAACCTTCCAACTATACTGTGCCTTTTGGACCCCGTTTGCTCACATGTGGTTTTTATTTACCGCGTTTTAATGTGTAGGGAAATTCTAACACCTTCTCCTGTGGTTGTAAAGCAGTATTCTGCCAAGCCATACAACACTTAATCTTCAGAGTACGAGGGCTGTTCAAACGTTAATGACACTTTACTAACTTATTTAACGCGAACAATGTTAACCACAGCATTTCGTAACATATGTTTGTACAGATTAATTACTTGTCTTTTCATACAAAGCGCTCTTAACCAGACAACCATTTTCATGTTTGTGTGTATGCATGTGTGTATGTGGGTACATACTTGTAACAGTACCTCTTATCACTGAGGTCTCTCATACTATATGGTGCTCCATTTAGAGATTCTAAAAATGGAATGAATAGTTCTGGTATTTGAACAAACGTGTATAAGGGGTGGACAAGTCCAAAGGTGAAGATGCTCAAGGGTGGCTGGGCAGGCTGGGTAGGCTGGGTACACTGGTTTATGTCCCCCTCCCCTCCAAGTTGGCCATGCACATCTTTTGTAGTTTTTTCTGAGCTGGTCATACTGGTCTCTGTAGTTTTTCTTTGTTGGAGTCATCGTTTGGACAGCAAGTCCCTGGGCTGCCGTTTCAGGAGGTGACCTACATTGTATAATCTGTCAGATTCCAGACTTTTTAGTGGATTTTTCTTACCCCTCTGTTAGAAAGCAATACATTGATAGATCATGCAATAGAGCTGCAATGTCATTGAAATCACTGTCCTTTTTCTGACCAGATTACCAATGTTTTACTTTTTCCAGTCTTGACATATGCTCTGTGTTAAGGTTTATTTTCCCTGCTCAAAGTAGGGGCAGTATCTTCTTAAACAATTTAAATCAGTGTTTTCTGGCACAGAATCTGTGACTATTGGTTGTTGGGCAACCAGAAAAGTTTATATTTTAAAGATGAACCTATTTTAACATGTTTGAATTTTATATAGAGATCTATTCTCATACATTATTCTGATATAATTACGCAAATGTAAAATTACTGTTGAAGATATTTGAATATTTTAAGTTTATTAGTTGAAGCTGTTGTGAGTAATGCATTTTAGTTTGGATTAATTTGCATATTGACAGTTAATTGGAACACAGAGGCAGTAAATTCTGTTGGGTATACTGATATTAGAAACTATTCATTGACCCTTGTGTATGAAAGCCATAACCACTTGCATTCTGCATAATGATTTTATTTTTTTAACGTCCAACATCTGTATGAACGCAACATTTCTTCACCTGCAGGTTCTTTTAATGAGAGTTGGTATTTTTATTTTACATGAATAAAATGACAACCAGAAAGTGGTTTTGTGTGTTGATAGTCTTTCCTGCTCCAAAAAAAAGCTTGTTTGTCATTGTAAGGTTTTGGGAGAACTTGTTGCATATAACAAGTTTAAGATGATTTCAGAAAATTGACCAGAGATCCAGTTTTTCATCCATCTTCAGTAACTGCTAATCTACTACAGGGTTGAACTTGCAGGTTATCCCGGGAAGTACAAAGCACAGGAACACCCCTGGATTGGATTCCAGTCCATCCCAGGACACACACACACTGCGGGCAACTCGGAGACACCAGTTTGCTTAACCACATGTTTGTGGACTGTGAGGAAACCCAGTGGGAAATCAAAATTCCACACTCAGCAGAAGTGCAATTTGAACCAATGTGTGAGGCAACAGTTCTACCTTCTGTGCCACCAACCAAATTACCATTTTATGTCAATTGTGATGCAGTGATGCAACAGTGCCACAAAGGCCCTGGTGATCACATAAGGAGTTACTCAGTCGGGAAATGGTACCAAAAAAACATTACCTACGAAAATGACCTAACCCTAAAAAACCCTTTATCCAGCAGAGGGTGACAGAGAGCAGGGAACATCATGGAGGGGCTGCCAGTTCATCACAGATCATGTGCTCACATCCTTTGGGCACATTGTTTTGCTTTGGGGCTATGGGGGCAAGCAGGGTGGACAAGCAAACACACACAGTGGAGCCAGAGGTAAGATTCCAACACCCAGCCTCTAAGGCATGAGGTCCTACTGCAGAACACTTTGTGGCCTTAAATCATAGGGGGTGGCCTGTGGCTCAGAAGGTTGGGTATTGGTGGTCGGAAGGGCACTGGTTTAAATCTCATGCTTACTAAAATAGTCCCTTCTCCATTGGACCCTTGAGCAAGGCCCTTAACCCCCCCCCAGGAAATACTCCAGGGGCACTGGAGGGACAGCTGACCCTGTGCTGAGAACCCACTCTGTAAGGTGGCATGCCCAAAAAACACATTTCAAAGTAACTATTTATACAAATGGCAGTTAAAGCTTCATTCATTATTTTTATTTTATATGCCTTTTAAGAGCTCAAAATACATAAATACCTTTTCAAATACAGTGACTGACAGAGGTTGCTCTGTGGAGAGCACTGTTGCTTCAGTCCTCCATTGTTGGGGGTTCAAATCTGATATGTGTGCATGTGTAGAGTATGTTTGCTCTCCCTGTATCTCATGAGTTTCCTCCCACAGTCCAAAGACAGGCTGCCTAATGGCATAAATGACATCTCAAAATTTCCAGTAGTGTATAAGTATAGGCCAGGGTATGAGTTTATATTCTCCGTGATGGACTGGCATCCCATCAAGAGAGCACTCCTGTGTTGTGCCCTGTGCTGCCTGCAATAGGCTCCAGGCTCCTCTCTGTTACCCTGACCAGAAGAAGCAGTTTGAAGACCAACGAATGTAACAGGAAAACATATGATATGGTTCTAATTAAACCATTAACATTACCTGGGAAAAACTAAAGCCTGAACCTTAATCATTATTATTCTATCATCATAAATATGCATCTCTCTATATTTCAAGTTTTTTTACACATAAGGTGCATGGCTTCAGGAAATGCAGGTCATCAGTTAAGCATTGAGGTGTATTCTGAGGTCTTCATATAGTAATATATTTGAAGGCAGAACATTACAGTCAAAGAGATAAACAATGCCTCCCAAGGCATTTAACTTCCACAAATATATTGGTTGTGTTTGTAAGTCTATTCTTCAGCAAATATCTAGGAAGGTATGCTCTTGTCCTTCAATATTCTGGACAAATTCACCTCTGTGGCACATCCATGTGTCATTATAGATCATTGAAAAGTATTATAGTGCAAGTGTATGGCTAATATGTATTATATAACATTTATTTCGCTGATGTTTTGTTCAAAGTGACATACATTTCAGAAAGTGGGATCAATTGGGTGTTACTCAGCCTTACTCAGGAACCCAACGGTGAAAGTACTGCCCATCACAGGACTGGCCAATCATGCAAGTCCACACACAATCCTAACTTATGTAAAAAAGAAAAAAAAAAGTGCATGATGAAAAACCTAGGAATAAGCCTAACCCTATTCTCCTGAACTGCATTATATGATAAAACCTTTCAAAAATCTGTTCATTCTTCTTTCCCCAGCATGAAGCACTGCTACAAATCAGAGTTTTGAGACATTAATCCAACTGGACACTTCTTTATGACAAAGCTTTGAATGCAAAATGTTTGGTTTTCCCCTTTGGTAAATATACTGTATTTGTGTAGCTGGTATAACTAAACAAGACAGTCCTATTCATCTTCCATGTTGAAAATAATGGACAAGTTACACTTTCAGGGGTGGTGGGTGGGCAGGAGTGACAATGAATCTCATGCAGGGATGTAACTTTTAACTTTCATTGCTCTAAACAGAGCATATGGGAGGATGTTTGTATATGTGTAATTTATACATGTAAAATGCCTCAGCACAATGGCTGTCAAAATGTGGTTTGCGAGAAGGCTGTGGTAATTTGTTGTATATTCTAGAAAAAAGAGGAATTAAATGAATGTTAAATTACTTTATACATACACACATATTTGAAATCTTTTCAGGTTAAGATTTCAATATTTTCTGTCATGACACATTCAGGGCAGGTTGAACGGAATCTACTAAATCCTGCAATTCCTGCTCTTTCAAATGTGCTGCCACAGGGATTGTCCCCCCGCGCCGCAATGCTCGGGTTATTGAGATTTTTTTAAGTTAGCATTCAGGTCTGGTTTGATCCAGAGTCGTAGTTCAAAAAATTTGAGAACCACCGCATTACCATAACTATAGGATCTGTCTGAGGATCTGTCTTGCTGAAAATTCAGGCCAGCACATATATGCACCTTTCATATCCACACACTTTTCCAAAGACCCTTAGAAAGGGATACAGACCCAACACTTCAAAGTTATTTTGAAAAATTATCTCCCTAACACTGCGTCCCCGTTTTTTTGCTGTGGACCGCAGTTATTAACACCGAAAGGCCGATTCCCACAATAAAGGCACGAATGTGGCATATCTAATCGCCTCCTGATTGCGGTTCAGTTTTTTTTAAATTTTTTTTATTAACTCAATGCCACAGGAACAAGAGGTATTACACAATCATGTCAAATTAACATTAGCTGCTAGAGAAAAAGAAGAAATAAAATAGAAAAAAAAGAAAAGAAAATACATTTCAATTTCTAAATTTCAATAATTTTAGAGCATTACATGTTTTCAGTGCTTTTTTGTTTTTTGTTTGTTCCAGGAGATTTACATACAATTTAAAGTCGTTAATAAAATGAGAAAAATTTGGTTTACACCGAGCCCACTTTTTCTTATTTATATGGAATTTTCCTAATAAAATAAACAAATGTATAATATGTTGTTCTTTACAATTCAATCTTTCACTTTCTGTATAAAAAAGCACATCAAATATACAAATTTCTATCATACATTCCATTTTTCTGCTAATATAGAATTCCATATCTTTCCAAAATACTCTTGAGTAAATACAATGAAAAAAAATATGCAAAATGGTTTCTTTTTCTTGACCACAAAACTCACAGGTATATGAAATATTAAGCTTAAATCTTTCCAAAATATGCTTGGCAGGATAAATTCTATGAAGTATTTTGTAAGACACTTCCTTAATTTTGTTATTGATACAAAACTTATTTGACAGATTCCATGCTTTAACCCAAGAGATATTATCAAATAAAGAAGACCAGAAAAATCTTGCTGCAGGTAAAGTCACAGAACGATGTTTGCGGTTCAGTGCTACTCGCGCTCCAGGTTTTCCTGCAAGGAATTTAACGCGACAGGGTAAGAGGTCGGGGCAGTGTGCCGCGGTGCGTGCTGGGATGCGCCGTCCGTGACGTCATTTCTACCGCGTTGGAGAGTGACGTGGCGGGAGGAGGAGGAGGGGGGTGTTGGACGGCAGGGACCAAAGATTTTTACTTTTGCCCCCGTAGAAGCAAGGCGGCTGCCACCCGTAGTGACCGGCCGCTAATGTGCCGCTTGATTCTCGGCGGATTGTAATTAAATTACTGCACTTAGTCGTATTTATCAGGGTGGGAAAGAGGGAAGTGCCTCGACCGGTAGCAATACAGCCTGCTAGTTAAATTAGTTAGTTTATTCAGTTCTTAGTTGGACAATAAACCATGGGCCTGACGATCTCCAGCGTTTTTTCTCGCCTCTTTGGGAAGAAGCAGATGCGGATCCTGATGGGTGAGTCGGCGGTGTGTAATAAGCTGGCGGGGATGCTTTGACCGACAACCGTTTTCGGGGGTTAAGTGTGCCCGTTTCGTCCGAGGTCTTCGGCCCGGGAGAGGGGGTCCACTTGCTGTGGTCCACGTTTTCCCGTAGCCTGAACAAACAGCCGGCCAGCTGCCCGGTCTGCTGTATGTCGAGGTGTGACTGCAATACCGTTATTTTTTAGTTCGTTAATGTTAGTTAAATCCCACAATCGGGGGCCGTAATAAGCGCCGTGATGCGTGTAGCTACTTAGCACACCGGCGTTAGCTGTGGAAGTAACGCTTTAGGGCTAACCGGCTACATCCAGTGTCCTCAGATGGATACTTTGGGCCGTGGAGTCACACGTACGATTCGGTTTGAGGTGTTACCGAAGCGGAACCGCTGGATTATTGTCGGGTTTGATGGCTGTGAGAGTCAGATATCCCCGAATGAGGATGTTAAGAACGACTAAACGCCTCGGATCCGGCCACTTGCTCCGGCAGCAATTGGGGCTGAGCTGCTAAAACGCCCAGATCATAGCTAGACGTGTTAAAAAGAAAAAGGGACAATTATCTGGATAAAACATTGATATGAGATAAATGGATGCTTGTTTCCTAAGACTAGCCGCTGTGGGAAAACGGTGACAACTCGGGCCCTTGGCCCCGCTTGTTTTCTTGGCTCCAGTAGTTTCTATCAGCAGAAGCGTGGATTTAAACGCTTTAAAACGCCCATGTTCTCGGAATAAAAGAGGAAAAGCGACGGTAACAGCGTGAGAA